GATTTGTACTAAAATCTGTGTTTCTTATAGCGCTGTTTCCATACAACGCGGTAGCCGGTTTCCATACAACGCGCTACGAATTAGCTTGGTTTGTACGGTTAAATYCSAATTTCTTATAACRCGGTTTCYATATAACGCGGAAYGCACTTACAGCGTTATAGGAGGTTTGACTGTATATATATAAACAAAATGATCTAGTTAGAATTTTCATTACTTTCAGATCATTGGGGAATATCATAGTAACGTTGTCAGCATAAACAACACCCTGTTCTCTTAAATTAAACATTTTGTTAGGTCTCCAACAAGCAATAGCATTGAAATTAGTTAATGCATAAAACATGACGCCTGTTTTAGGATCAATAAAACTGACACTACTTTGACCGTTCGATCCGCGTGAACCGATTGGTTGAAATTCATGAAAACTTTCTGGAAAAAATCAAGAATAATTATCAAAATTAGAAATGTAACACATATTATATTTTGATTGTCGATTTAAATGAAACCTTTTCGTTACTACATACTTTCGTAAAATATTTTCATTTAGTATACGAAAATATCTTCGCATATATTAAACGTAACATTGATACAATTTGAATGACCCCTTTATATGATAACGAAAAGGTTTATAACATTTAACATGTATACTTAATTATTATACCAGGTGTATTAACACGTTCGGGATCTCGTAGAAGTTTAGTGCTAACTGAAAATTCCATTGTACTGGATAACGGATGAAAATAAAGTGTACTGTATCCATCTTGAGTTGGTTCCAATGCCATACCAAATATTCCATCTGTCCATACGAATAATACACCGGATACGTTGAAACTACCGCCCTGTTTTAATTATTTATGAATATTATTACATCCTAATGAATATTTGAATAATAATAATAATAATCAGTTATCTATCTCGTCCAAAATTATAATTCTTAATGATAACGTATCACAGGGAACTTGGACATAAAAAAGAAGTAGAACTTAATTTAAATAAGTTGAACGTTTCGTCCCTTTATTGGGACTTCTTCAGCAACTTAATCTTTACAGTTCAGGGTGTTTTTTTCATTGGGTGGACATACATTTTTCTTTTTATTAATATTCCAAACACAAAACATCTAAACTTAGTTAAGTATTCGCTCGTTATCATTTGAAACCCTCAACAAAACTGTTTCAATCTTTCTGTACTGTTACAAATTCTTTTTTATGTCCAAGTTCCCTGTCAAGATACCTTATCATTAATAATAATAATAATAATGAAAATTACTTTAGGATCAGGATGGAAGAAGTGATGTTTAACCAGCCATGATTTATCAAGTTTCCAAGAATAAACGACTAAACCTGGTGCACCAAGGTCACCGAGATAACCATAAGCATCGTCGCAATTATAATCTTCAACCGCGATATTAGCAAAGAAAGAATCAGCTGTTCTTTGATCACTAGGTATAACAAATTTTCTCAACAATTTGTCATCATTTAAATCATAAATGACAAGGGTAGGTGGTACTCTTTGTTCTGGATTACCCATAATATCAACCAATCCCGTGTCGAGAACCCAAAGTCTCGAACAACGATCTACCCTTAATCGAAATGGTGATACCAATTCCGGTATTCCACCCCCATTTCCAAATTGGTGAGCTTCCCACGATGGGTAAGCTGTAAATGGTGGTGATTCTCGTGTATCTGTGAAATATTATTTCATTTAATTATCAATATTCTTGTCCAAAAAATATATTAATATATAAGTCTCAAAGGGAATTATAGACGGTTAATAAATCTGATGAACAATTTATTTTGAACTAGTTGTACGTTTCGTCCCTTACTGGGGACTTCATCAGCAA